AGGGCTCGCTGCTCTGGACTTGTTGTCGGCTTTGGTACCGACGGGAGAAAAGAAGGAAAAAAAGAGGAATGAAAGGAAAAAGGAGAAAAAAGAACAGGCGGAGCAGAAGAGCTCTGATAGGAGCATCCTCTTCTGCCACTATCTTGCTGAAGATGCATCTATGCCAGGTAGATCGTTGAGGTTGAGGTCAAGTTTCCTCCCTCTTGTTGGTTCCATTTCCACTGCCAAAGTCCATTTCCACTCCCACAGTTTTCATTCTACTCTCAGTCCCTACTCCCACTTTTTATAAATCTGTCACAGACAATTCCATTACTGTCCCTGGGAATTTCTTGCCTCACTGATTTGACAGACTCAGCGAAGGAAGCAGTATAGTGGTGTACAGAAGGAAGTTGCCCTGGTAGTCCTTATCAATAACTCTGCACCCCATAAAGTCACAAAGCATTACGTCAAAATTTGGCAAGGAAACCTCCTGTTGATTACTTCCTACCACTGTCTCTCCTCCCTCTCACCTGATGAATCAGTACTCCTCCAGCAGATCAAAATTTGGAGGAAGCATTAAGGATGGTATTGGTGCAGAATGTACTCTGGGTAAGGAACATCAATGGCCATCATCAAGAGTGACTGGGCAGTGCCACTAATCTTTGATCTCGTTGAGTCCAAAAGGACATAGCTGCAAGACTGGGACTTTGGCAGTGGAAATGAAACCAAAAAGAGGGAAAAAACTTGACCTCAATCTCAACAATCTGCCCATCATAAATGTATCTGTCTATGACAGTATCAGGAAGAGTGACCATCGCACAGTCCTTGTGGAGGTGAAGTCCCATCTTCACAGTGAGGATCCCTCACAGTGTGTTGTGTAGCACTATCATGCTTAGTGGGATCGACATTCAACAGATCTATCAACTCAAGACTGGGCATCCATGAAGTGCTATAGGTAATTGGCAGCAGCAGACTTGTACCCAATCACAATCTGCAACCTCATGGCCCGGCATATACACCAGTTATCCATGACCATCAAGCCAGTAGATCAACCAAGTTCAATGAGGAGTACAGGTGGGCATGCCAGAAGCAGCACCAGGCAAACCTAAAAACGAGGCGTGAACCTGGTGATGTTACAATATAGAACTACTTCTGGGCCCAACAGCATAAACAGCAAGTGATAGACAAGGTAACCAGCTCCACAACTGTGGTCAGATTTAAGCTCAGCAGTCCTACCACATTCAGTTATGAATGGTGGTGAACAATTAAACAACCCACTGGAGGAGGAGGCTCCACAAGTATCCCCATCCTCAATGATGGGGAAGCCAGCACATCAGTGCAAAAGGTAAGGTTAAGCATTTGCAATAATCTTCAGCCAGAAGTGGCAAGTGGATGATCCATCTCGGCCTCCTCCAGTGGTCCTTTATATCACAGATGCCGGTCTTCAGCCAATTCGATTCACTCCACGTGATATCTTGAAACAGCTGAAGGTCTAGGATACTACAAAGGCTATGGGCCCTGACAACATTTCTGCAATACCGCTGGAGACCTGCGCCCTAGAACTTGCCATGCCCCAAACCAAACAGTTCCAGTACAGCTGTGGCACTGGCATCTACCAGAAACGATGTGGAAAATAACCAAGGTACATCCTGTACACAAAATGTATGGGCTAATGACCACCCCATAAGCCTAAGCTCAATTATCAGTAAAATGTTGGAAGATGTCATCAATAATGTGACCAAGTAGCACTTGCTCAGCACTGATCTGCTCTCTGATGCTCAGTTTGCATTATGCTCAGGCCATCAGCGCCTGGGCTCAGTAATGACTCGGTCCAAACATGGACAAAAGAGTTGAATTCCAGAGTTGAGATGAGAGTGACTGCACTTGACATCAAGGCTGTATTTGACCAAGTGTGGCATAAAGGAGCTCTAACAACACCCTAGAGTCAATGGGAGTCCAGAAAAACTCTCCGCTGGTTGAAGTCATACCCGGGTCAAAGGAAGATGGTGGTTGTTGTTGGAGGTCAGTTGTCTCAGGTCCAGGACATTTCTGCAGGTGTTCCTCAGATTAGTGTCTGAGATGCAACTATCTTCAGCTGCTTCATCAATACCACCCCTCCATTATAAGGTCAGAAGTGGGATGTTTGCTGATGATTGTACACTACTCAGCTTCATTCATGAATCCTCGGATACTGAAGTAGTTTGTGTTCAAATGTAGCAAGAAATGGACAGTATCCACGCATTGGCTGAGGACTGACAAGTGACATTTGTGCAATACAATTGCTAAGCAATGACCATCTCAATCAAAATAGAAACTAATCATTGCCCTTTTACATTTAAAGACTGACATCCACTGAATCCCCCACTATCAACATCCTGGGAGGTTACTATTGACCAGAAGCTCAACTGGACTCGGCCATATTGACACTGGCTACAAAAGCAAGTCAGAAGCTTCATGAATATTCAAGAAGCTTCACACTGTCCAGGACAAAGTAACCTGCTGATTGGTACCACATTCACAAACATCCACTCCCTCCACCACCGAGGGTCAGTAGCAGCAGTGTGTACCATCTATAAGATGCACTGCAGAAATTTATCAAGGCTGTTCAGAAAGATCATTCCAAACCCACAGCCACAATCATGTAGAAAGACAAGGTCAACAGTTATGTGAGAATGCCAGCATCTGCAATTTTCCCACCATCACTGCTCCTTCGTTTTCACTGGGTCAATATCCTGGAAATCACTTACTAACTGCATTGTGGATCTAACTACATCAAATGGACTGTAGTGGTTCATGAAAGCAGCTCAACATCACCCCAAGAGCAACTAGTGATGGGCTATAAATGTTGACCCAGCCAGCAATGCCTATATTCTGTAAGTAGATAAGTGTGAGCCAATGAATGGAAGAACTATGGTGGGTAGAATTAACGAGTCACTAAGCTGGTTAAGTATATTAAATAATTAAGGGAAAACCTCATGAACTCCATAGGATTCTGAAACATGTTTTACTGATACCAAAATATAAAATATATACAGTGACCCACTGAAGTAATTTATTACTGCATCTTGTGCCACCCAGAACAACCTGATACCATTAAATACCATATTTCAAAGATGTAGGTAAATAGAATTCAGTCAGCAACAATTATTCCTATTCCATATTACAAACAAAAATGGGATAACAGACGTTCACATGATTGTCAAGCAATGCAGTTTTATATCAATTGTGCTAAATAAATAAATGATTTGTGCATTTCCGGTATATGAAAGACTCACCACAACTCCAAATTGCTCTGGTTCTGACAAGCTATTGTAATCATTCTTGAAACGTGCCAAGGAAGATACTTGCTCTTGTTCTGGTAGATGGCTTACCAAGTTCTGTAGATGTTGCAAATATCCAGAATAAAGCATGGTTTAAAAATAATACTTTGTTGCCTACATTTGATTAATATTTTGAATCATCTTCATTTAATATTTAATACACAGCAGGAGTTCTGGATTCACTCGTAAATGTGAGTCAAACATTACTTTTAAAAATACACTCATTCAAATAGTCACAATGACAATGAAACTGATTAAAGTAAATTAATGTAATGAAACACCATGTGACTTCTAACAAACAAATCAAGCCTTTGTAATAAATAAATTAGTGCAATTACTCTGGCTCAAAAAACAACAATCCAGCAACAACTTCACCTTTGATGTGAGCTGAAACAGAAACAGTGTGAAGCAACGCCTCAATCCACAATATGGATGGCCTGCTTGTGTTCAGACTGAGAAAGAAACAGCATTAGGCACTCAGCTGGACCATGCAGCATCATTAGGGGTATGCTCAGGAAGAGGTGCATCTTTAGGGAATCGATCAGGTAGAATTGTTGACCTACTTATAAAGAGGAGAATTAGGGACCGCTTTAGCAACAGAACAGAACTGAAGAAGCATCATTAGGGAATTTATATTTTACCCACATGTAACTAAGGTTCAGAGAAGAAAGCTAGTGTTTGTTTTATGTAGAATCAACAGATATATACCTATGAATATTCAGGGGGTCTATTTTTGATCAATTTAAACTAGAAATCGAAGTTCAGTAGTAAGCGATGAAATCATAACAATCAGTGAGAGACTGGAGTCCCACACTAGCATTCTGGAGGTAAATAAAAAAGGTAATTGCTCAGGCATGAGGACAGATTTGGCATGACTGGACTAGGCAGGAAGACTAAAAGGTAGGACATCTGATGATCAGTGGCAGATGTTTACAGAAGCTATTCTACTCCTCCTAATTTAAATATATTCCAGAGAGGAAGAAAGATCCTAAGAAGGAGAGCAAAACATGTATAACGAAGAAAGGGAGTTAAAGGTACATAAAGGCAGGTTGGAAAATTGGGGAACTTTTAAAGATCAACCAAGACTTCCAAAAAAGTAATAAAAAGACCAAAAAGTAAATTACAAAAGAAAACTAGCACAAAATGTAAAAATCAATAGCAAAAGCTTCAATAAGTATATAAAAGGGAAGAGCAGCTAACGTGAATGTTGTCTTGAAGAATGAGAATTAATAGTGGAGAACACAGAAATCGCAGAGACACTAAATCATTATTTTGCTCAATTTTTCGCAATGGAAGACTATAGTACCATCTCAATAGTAACATGTAATGCAGATGTTATTAAAAAAGTACAGAGCAAACTATTGGGATTGAAGGCGAGCACGTCCCCAGGAACTGACGGCCTACATCCAAGAGTCTAACAGCAGAGATAGTGAGTCCATTGGCGATAATATTCCAACATTCCCTGAATGTGAGAAAGGTCCAATGGATTGGAAAAATGCTAATATAATGTCTCACTTATAAAAGGAGGGAGACACAAAGTAGGAAACAATAGATCAGTTAGTTTAACATCTTTTGTTGGGAAATTGTTAGAATCCAGAAATAAGGAAGTAATAACAGGACATTTGGAAAATCAAAACGGAATCAATCAGAGTCAGCATGATTTTATGAAGGGTAAATCGTTTTTGACTAATTTGTTCAAGGTGTAACAACAAACTGGATAATGGGGATCCTATATATGTAGTATATCTGGACTTTAGGAGGCATTTGACAATGGGCCACACAAAAAGTTAATGCACAAGGTAAGAATATATGGAGTTAGGGTAATATATTAGTTTGGATTGAGGATTGATTAACCAATAGAGAGCAGAGAGTTGAGATGAATAGGTCGTTTTCTCATTAGCAAGATAACTAGCAGGATGCCAGAGTTTTCGGGCAGTGGGCCCCAACTATTTACAATCCATATTCATGTCTTGGATGCAGGGGTAGAAGGTACTGCAACCAAATTTGAACATGACATTAAAATAGGTGGAAACCTAATTTGCAATGGATAAATTAGAAATTTACAAAAACGATATGGATAGGTTAGGTGAATAGGCCAAGTTTTGGCAGGTTTAGTTTAACATGGATAAGTATGAGGTTTCTGAAGAAGGGTCTAAACCCGAAACGTCAGCTTTCCTGCTCCTCTGATGCTGCTTGGCCTGCTGTGTTCATCCAGCTCTACACCTTGTTATTTAAGTATGGGATTATCCATTTTGTCAGAAGAACAGAAAGATAACTTATTATCTAAATGGAGAGAAATTTCAGAGCTCTTTGGTGCATAGGGAACTGGGCACACATGAATTGCGGAAAACTAGTATGCAGGTACAGCAGATAATACGGAAGGCAAATAGAATTTGGCATTTATTGCTAAAGTAATAGAGTTTAAAAGTAGTAAAATGTTGCTGTAACAGCACAGGGCATTAGGGAGACCAAGTTTGAAGTATTGTGTACAGTTCTGGTGCCCTTACTTGAAGAGAGATGTAATTGCACTGGAGATTCACTAGGTTGATTGCAAAGATGAGGGGCTTGCCTTATGAAGAAAGATTGAGCAGTTTAGGCCAATACACTCTGGAGGTTAGAAGAATGTGAGGAGATCTAATTGAGGTATAAAAGATGTTAAAGGGAACTCAAAGTAGACATAGAAAGGATGTTTTCTCATGTGGGGCAATCTAGATTAAGGGGTCATAGTTTTAGAGTTGGAATGAGGGGAGCAGATTTGAAGCAGAGATGAGAAGAAATTACTTCTCTCAAAGGGTCACGAATCCATGGAATTCACTACCCCAGTGTACGATGGATGTTGGACCATTGAGTAATTTTAAAGAGGAGATGGACAGATTTTTAATTAGTAATGGGTTGAAGGATTATGGAGAGGAGCAGGCTCGATGGGCTGAATTGCCTACTCCTACTTCTAGTTTTTAAGTCTTTATAATGGCCATCCACCTTAACTCAGGCATTATTCCTGTGATTGAAGAGAATGTTTCATTTTTAGTAAACAGGTGTTTCACTTTCAAATTAAAGATCTATTTTGTATATGATGCCAATAGCCACGGTATGGCCAAAGGCACAATACACGTTCTTAAGAAGTTGGTGCAATTCAGGGCAAATTCACAGTTAATTTTCATTTGATGGGTTTTAGATTTCTTTTTGAAAAATATGACAGGCAAGCAATAATGCATAAAATACTGTTCAACACAATTTACCGACAATTCATTGAGATGAATGGGCTTAAATTGGATTAATGCAACCTTTGCTTTCAGATTAATGTATATAAGTGCTTTGGGGTGGGATGGTTACATTGAACTGTTATTTTAATATTTATAGCTGATCAATAATATAATTCATACATGCAGTCAATGAGTTTTTTTAAAAAAATCCAATATTTGTCCTTTAGCGTAATTTCTAACAGACTGAGAATTAATAGCAATTACAAGAATGTGGCACATTAACAATGATTGATGCAGTGCATTACAATTTAAATTACCACGTTATAGCTACTTGACACTTGGGTTACACTTACTGTCACGTCCACTCTACACAGTAAGAATTTTTATCGTGCGATTACTGCAACCAAAACCAAAGATTAGCAGTACAATTAATCAGTACTGTTAAATGCCAAGCTAAACTTATATCAATTTTGCTTTTACTGAGCCAATACACATTAAGTATAGAAAACTTTGAAGAGATGCAAACTCTTTCAAGTCTTAAAAGTTTTATGAAACCTAAAGGCTAAAAAACAGTAATGCTTTGAGACTGTGATCAGTTTCTGAATTAACCACACTTGCAATAGCAAAACATTATGCACTCAACACAAAGTTGAGACAAAACTCAGAAATTATTTAGTAAAATTTAATAAAAATAACACCTGGATTATGGACTCGTTCAATTGTTCTTCATCCACTTCCAATATAATTCTTTTTATTTCCTCATAAGGCATCCGAAAAGATCCAAGAAAAATAGCTACAGAACACATTTTTGGAAATGTTAATGATCATTGTTACTTTGAAACAAAATTTAAACTATTAGGCAATTGAACATCACAAGCATCTTACACTTACAGAGGTTCTGCGCAGTCTTTGGGTCGAGGACTTTAAGTTCTTTAACTTTCCTCTTGATATCTTTTCTTTCTTCATATTCTTCATTGTTGTTACCTGCCAGATAGAGACCAGTATGTTTTATTTTTGGTATTTCAACAAAATGAATTCCATTGTATTCTGTTGGTTGCATGCATCACTAAATTACAAATGTGTTTATATTAAGCTAAAATAAATGGCAACATATCTTTTAAAAGCGGGAATGCATGAGCGTGTTTCCCTTCTATCAGTTTACTCACCACTGCTACTGGAAGAAGGTATAGCACTTTCAAATTTAATTGATGAATGTTTTTGCACAACAAAAAACAAATTATTGCAAAGTTTGGATGTCAGTTAGGCCAAACAGACATGTGGAAAAAAAGTTTACAATAAATAAAGCAAACATTGGTAGTTAAAATAGCACAGGTACTGTATTAACACACATCCTGTATTTTGTGATGTTGCAATAATTGCTTTGAAATACACCGAGGCACAGTTGGTTGTATTTTTCTTCTTTCATTGGAAGAAGGTGTCATATGAAAGTCTCATAAATGGAGGACAAACTATGTAGGAAGCTTGGGAAATCTGGACAGGTGTTACTGCTGCAGAATTCACAGCCTCTGACTTGATCTTGTAGCCACTCGATTTATATGGCTGGCCTAGTTCAGTTTCTGATCAGTGATAACCCCCAGGGTTAGGTAGAGAGGAACAAGCAATGGAATTGCAACTGAATGAGTGACGGTAAGATTCTTCATTGCTGTGTTTGATCATGGCCCACTATTTGTCTGGTGTGAATACTGGTCCAACATTTTGATCAGAATCCCTGTTTCCAACATAATACAAAAACAGAAATTGTTGGAGAAACTCAGATGGTCTGGCAGCATCTGTGGGAAGAAAGCAGAGTTAATATTTTGAGTGTGATGACTCTTCATCAGACTCTTCATCCTTATTTCCAACTAAAAATTACCTATTTCCCTTTAGATGTTTTCAGCGCTGGGGATTCTTGGATAGGGGCCTCCTGTTAAGAACTGTCCAAAAATCAATAAATCCAGCAGCGCAGAAAATCTTCACAAAACTGTGCCTCCTTTTGCAGCAGTCAGTGGGGCATTTTTGGCATGTTCTGTTCTTTAAATGGCTAGCAACACAGCTGGCTACTTTGAAGATCCTGTGGAAAAAAAACCCAGATGGGTTTTTCCAACAATTAACAGTGGATTCATGGTTATTGTTAGACTGTTAATTCCAGACTTTTATTGAATTCAAATTCCACCATCTACTGCGGCAGGATTCGAACCTGGGTCCCCAGAACATTGTCTGGGTCTCTGGTTTAATAGTCCAGCAATAGTACCACTAGGCCAACACCGATTGTTGCCATTGCCTCCAAATGTAAACACCATGCATGATCTTCCCAGTGAAATAATCTGGGCCACTTTTAACTTCTAACAAATCAGAATACCTACACTGCTGCCAGGCATATTTCAGAACACATCATTTTATCACCTTCACTTTACCTTAAATCAAAGCCACAGTCTCAAAGTATCGAAATCTTTCAAATCTAATAAATTATAATAACAGCTAGAAAGAATATCCTTGTGATTTTGATTTTTGTCAGACCTATTTTGGTATTGCAGCAGGCTGAAAACCTGATTAGACAGATTCATACATGGCATTCTGGGAAAGATGAATTATTATTTAGGAGTTAGAAAACATGTTCAAAGACTTTGAAGAGGTAAGAAGAGATTGAGATGAGTGATTACGTGCAAGAGCTACGGGGTCATGGATTGATATTTTTTGGGGGAGACCTAATGACAACATGCACATTTGCGATGCTGTGGATATAGCTGTCAGGTGGGGTTTCCTGGATTGTAATATCATGCTCCAGCATTCCTACCAATGGTTCTGAAGAAAATTCAAAGAGCACATCATATAGGATAGCGGCATCTTTAATGGTCAGGAATAATCTAATCAAAAAATGAGAGGTCTGTGTGCTTTGCAATTGGCTTCAAACATTGATGCGTGGGACATATTGGGACAAGATAGTTTGAAAGTGATTGAGGTGGGAAGTCATGTGTAAAACCCTCTGGAATACATCATACTGAAGTTGACAACCTTAAGGTTGTGACATTAAAGGTCAGACCAGTGGTACTTTTGTGTAGCTGCAGATGTAACAAGGGCAAAGACAGCAGCTTCTATTAGCACAGTGCCTTTAAAGTAATAAAACATCCTATAGGCTTAAGACCAATGAACTCTCTAAAGCATTATTGTGGTGCACAGCCTTTTCACCTGAATGTGCATTCTCTTTAAAATTTTTATGCAGTATATTAAAGGGCAACTTATGAGCAACCTGCATGGTAGCTTCTGATCGCTGCTTGTCTGTGGTGTACACAGTCAGCTTAGAGGAAACATTTCATTTGACTGTATACCAGGTAGATATATAACATGGAAAGTCTATTGACATGTCACTCACTGGAATGACAGACTGGTGATACCCTGATGTGCAGCATGTGACATACATGACAAATTAATTATGCTTCTTTAGAAAGATAGATACCTTGTTAATAAAATCATTTTCATTTATTTCACAGCTGTGTTCAGTTAATTTTCACCACAAAAGGAGGGATGTGATTTTTTTTCAATAAGCCAAATCAAGTGAAAATTAGTACTGATTAATAAAGGGCTGGTTGCTGCTGGAACTCAAACCTATAATCATAAACGTGAAAAACATCTATCTTACAACACGTTGAAGCAGACAAATACGAATACCATCTTTTTCTGACAACAATTGCAACCGTTTTGACTAAGATTCAGAATAAAATTAAAAAGCAAACATTTTCATTTGCCCATGGGTGTACACAATGGATTCTGCTGTCTAACAAATGCAGTGGATAAAACATAAAAGATTTTAGATGGTTGCAATTTACTAGTAACTTAATTAAAGGCAAAAATTCCTCAAGGAACATAATGACCAGAAACGTCATCAAGCTTAATCTATACAAATTATTTATATGGCTTTTCATCAGAAGAGTTTGCTTCACCTCTTCAGAGTAGACAATAAAAGAATCAATGTAGTTTATTATGCCTGTAGTACTGCCTGTAAGGTAGAACACCTAAACAAAGGAAATATAGTTTCCTCAGCCTTTGAAATCTAACCAGTTTCCAGGTTCCACATCCACTCATAGAGTCATAGAGCTGCACATCATGGAAACAGATCCTATGGTCCACCTCATTCATGCCAACCAGATATCCTAAATTAATCTAGTCACATTTGCCAGCTTATGTCCTATAACCTTCTAAACCGTTCTTATTCGTATATCCACCCAGATGCTTTTTAAATGTTGTAATTGTACCAGCCTCCATCACTTCCTCTGGCATACTCACACCACCCTCTGCATGAAAATGTTGCCCCTTAGAACCCTTTCAAATCTTTCCCCTCTCATCTTAAACCTCTGGTCTTGGACTTCCCTACCCTGGGCAAAAGACCTTGGCTATTCATGCTATCCACGCCCATCATGGTTTTACAAACCTCTATAAAGTCACCCCTCCACCTCCAACTCTCTAATACCTAGCTTATTCAGCCTCTCCCTGTAGCTCAAACCTCCAACCCTGGCAACATCCTTGTAAAATTTTTCTGGGTACTTACAAGTTTCCAACATCCTTCCTATAGCAGGGAGAGCAGAATTGAATGCAGCATTCTAAAAGTGGCCTAACAAATGTCCTTGACAGCTGCAACATGACCTCCCAACTCCTATACTCAATGCACTGACCGATAAAGGCAAGCATACCAAACACCTTCTTCACCACCCTGCCTACCTGCGACTCTACTTTCAAGGAACTATAAACCTGCACTCCTGCGGGAAAAGCGTCACTACCTTGGGTTTTCAAGTGGCCACCTTTTTGATTCAAGTGGAGATGAATTTGGTGGTCAATCAGCTAAAAATGCAACGTGGCGTGGGCCCAATTTAAATAAACCTAGGCTGTCCATTTCAATGCCATGCCACCTGTATGAGAGATTATAGGGTTAGAGATGTGGAAAATCTCAGAAGAGGGAAATGCTTGGAATCAGTATGCGGTATACTGGGTGGTGGTAGGGTCTCAATTCTGAACCTCTCAATGTGTAGATGCAAATCTGGAGGTTTACCTGGAGGCAATAAGAGAGAGGAAGGAGATATGCTTCCTGCAGAATAGCAGGAGGTTGCCACACTCCAAGATAGGCCAGTCTGGGGCACAGATAGCTGACACTATCTGGAGAAGGACTGTGGCGCACAGGAACTGGATTAGTTTAGAAATGGGTTCAATGGTCTGACACACTGTGACAATATGAGTGTTGTGCTCTTGCATTGACCAAATAGGCAATGTACCTTTAAGATAGTTGCAATGACAACACAACATGTAATATTTCAGTATAAAAGTACCTCCTCAGCTTCTGTCAGGTTCACAGTGTAATGGGGTCAGTATAGCGTGCTTTGGCAGGCAGTTGTCTATATGTAATGTAGGCTAACATCGGTAAGCACAGATCCTAGACCAGGTGAAAGTGTGAGATAGCGTAAATGTAAATAGCGTTACTAATAAATCTTAAGGTGTCTGTCTCAACAAGAAGTCTTTGTGGTATATGTTACATGATCTAATCTATTCGACATACAAGCATACAAATTAGGAGCTGAGGTTGGTCACTTGGTCCATCGAGCTTAATTTGCCAACCAATAAGATCATGGGTGATATGCTAATATTTTGAATTCCACATTTTCATCTGCCCCTACCTGCAAAATAAACTCTGCCTTAAAAATGTTCAATGGCCTTGCATCCACCAACTTTTATGACAGAATTCCAGAGTCAAACAACACTGAGGGGAAAAAAATCCATCTAATCTGTCCTAAAATGGCAAGCCCTAACATTAAAACATTGCCCACTGCTTCTGTACTTACGGACAAGGGGAAACATCCATTCCATGTCCACATTGACAAGGCTGTTTAAGATCCTATAGACTTCAATCAAGTCACCCTTCACTCTTCCAAGTCTAATGAAAACAAGACCAGTCAGTCTAACTTTTCTGCATAAGACAACCTGCTCATTCAGGTATCAAT